GTAAGCTTGATGATCTCAAAATTGAAGCTGGTTTTGGCCAACTCTCCCATAGAGTTTGCCTTAATTTGTCAACATTTTCTTCCATTAGGAAGCAGCCCTTATAGCATTCCTCATTCCTCACAATTTCTTAAAATTTCATTTGAGCTCGTGTCGTCGCGTCTCGTCTGGATTCAATTCAATTTATTTGTTGTCTTTGAGCTGAAGCTTTTAGAGGTGCCACTTTTTACCTGTGGATGCAGACTTTTCGGGTAAGCGACAATTTGTGTTGCTGCAAGTTTAATGTGGAATCGTGTATGTGAAGCGGGGTACAGGGCAACAACCGCAGCGTGTCTGCCTTCCTCATCCTTTCCCGGCAAGGATGCTGGTTTCACACACACTTATCCAGGCGGCTGGCTCAAAACTGAACTGAGCCAAAAGGACCAAAGTGCATGGGCAGGTGCGAGGGAGGGATGCTAACTTTTGCCCACGACAAAGTGACATATTAGCGTAGTCAAGTTTCCAAAGCACACTTACGCTGGAAAGAAGCTAGTGGCTCCACTGGCTCCACTTTCTGGTTAATTTTGTTATTTGCCTAGAAAACTTTGCCACAAATGGTAGGCATGTGCAAGACTCCTAAAGCAATTTAGTTGTCGGTGCTGCAAATGTCGCAAACATTTTTCGGCTCGGCATTCTCGCAAAGACGAAATCAAAAACCAATTAGAGGTCGCCACGCCCAGCTGTGAAACTTTTTGGGTCTGTAATTTGGCCAAAAGCACGCATTTCGCTTTCGACCTAAGAAGGGCGATAAAATATCTGCAAGGTTTCTCTTCTCCCATAATTGCGAAAACATTTTCACATCGAGTAATTATAGACAATAAAAACACGCTGTAATTTCGAGACTCCAGCAACGAAAGTTTTGCATAAATTAACCATTGCTTTTTGCCTGCTGCATTTCACGCTGGTTGGCTGCCCTTAAAAGGCCAACGCAACATAATTAAATATATATTAAAACTAAAACTTAAATGCAATTATATGAATGTCAATGAAATCATTTTGAATTACCAACTCAACCACAGCGGTCTGCCAACTGGTCAGCAATATAAAATGTCTTTTCTATCTGACCATGCATGATCCTGCCAGTTGCAATTTGCAAATGATGCGCAATTTATTAATTATCTATGAAGCCCTTTTTAATAAACCAAATTTCAAGCGTGCACAAACGGCAAATTCGATAAAATCCATAAATATTATGTTTATTAGTTTGCATGCTGGTAAAAAAAGAAGCAATTTGCATTTCATTTAGTGCCGACCATCAACGATTGGCTGCCGTTCAAAACATTCAATCACCATAATGAAAATGAACAAAAAAAATCATTTTCCACTCTGCCAATTAGTCACTTGATGCGCTGTCCATTGGCCCACACGTAAAAAGCCACCTCTTTGTGGTCAAAACTTTGTCATTTTATCACTCGGACCATCGGAAAATGAAGGGTTTTGGGCTTGGGCATTCAATATTTTAATTAGTTGACAAAGTGTTTCAAGAACTTAAATAAACAATAATGAATACTAATTGGCAATCTATGCGACAGATCTAATTATGTCATGGAATGCGCCGTGTGCCGCCCAATTCCCAATGATTTTTATATATTTGGGTAATTCTTTTGCATTTCCTTAGTCAACAACTGAACCCAAATCGCCAGCAAAGAGTTACCCTTTCGAAGTCGAGCATTTCATTTTCCTTAGCTTTTCGGCACGTGCCGCCTGACAAATCGCAGGCAAACTTCTTCCATAATCATTGCAGGCACTCTGAGCTGTAAAAAATTCAACATAAATTAAGTGTCTGTCCACATTAGTTGGTAGTTTGGCGGGGAGCCGGAAAATCCAGAGCTCACGCACCTTTTCACCCATTTTACGACCAAAATTCGCAGGGGCAAAAAAGAGCAGAAAAAACTGAATGGCTGCGCGCCTAATGCGCATTGAATAAAGTACTAAAAAAATAATTTGCTGCCTCTGAGGTGAACGTCCAAAGGGGAAATCACAGCTACGGGATAGGCATGAAACCTCCCCCTATTTCAAACATTTTACGTTTATTGCGTATACGCACCGTGTTCCGTGTTCCGTGTGTTCCGTGTGTTTGTGTGTGTGTGTGCGGGCGTGGGTTATGTTATATACACACTTCCGGTGGCTGGTTCACGGTTACCCGGGTTCGAGTTTAATGTTGTTTTGACGCCGCCATATTAACCGGAGGCGGGAATCCGGCTGACTGAATCCGGCGTAAGGCAGGAAATGTGCGACGCCAGGTACTTTCTATGTAAATGGATACACGCATTTGTTACTGCCGCATCGCCTGCCATAAACCCTTCTTTGTTTGCCCACTTCCGTAGCCCAAATATTTATGGTCCTGGGGCATATGTTTGGATCCAGCAATTTATTTAACCTTCAAATGCGATGCTCTGCTTCCTAGGCCTTTTCTGCCAAAGGTGTCGCCATTCGTTGGCCCCAAAATTTGCCTACATTTGTTATGCTTTATAGGCCAAGGCTTAGTGGCAGCTTTTTGAGCGTGGGCTTGGAAATTTGTATGGCCAACAAATCAATGCGTGTGTCGGATTTAGTTTCCGCCATCAATTCGTTAACAGCGTTTTCAATCGCAGTAACTCGCTTTTCTATAAAAAAAGGTGTGCACATTACACTATTCCTTTCATGCGGTTTATTTACATCTGCAGCGCAGCATCGGCTTAAATTTTCCTTATTTTCTTCGTCACTTTTATTTACAATATAAATCGCACGAAATGGTCACGCGACTGACCGAACAATAAAAGCGCCGGCATTAATCTTCTCTGGTCCTCGCGTATGGTAAATGGTAAATGGGGCAGGATCGCATGTGGGCAAGGGGGCAAGGAGCGGGAGGGGGGTCAGGACAATGCACCCCTCCAATTTTGTTGCCAATTTCCGGATGCAATGCTGCGAATTTCCGTCTGGAAACTTCACAACGATGGCGACGAAATTGCTTAAATGTAAATAAATCAGTGGTAAGAAAATGTTTCTGTGGTCAGCAAGCGTCCACTCCTCGCTCTCATCCTCGTCCTCGTCCTGGTGGCCATCCTCACACGCCCATCCCCATCGTCATCCGGATCTGGATCCTTGTCTGCTGCGTTGTAAGTGTTGGCTTATAAATCAGGCCACTGCAGTGACAGACAGACAACACAGTGCAACTCTGCATTAATGGCGGCTTAAGTGTGTCGAGGGGCAAAAAAAGGAACTCGCTTAATTGCGGGGCATTTTGGTTTAATTTGGCACAACTCGACTCGCAGTAAAGTTTTATTAGCTCGTCGGGGCATAAATCAAGCGAGTTGCAGACGAAAAGTCGTTTGTCATTTCGAACAATCAATTAAACGCAAATGTCGCATAAATACATGAATTCTTTTGTGACGAAACTATTCATCATCTATCATCGCGGAGTCGCAAAAGGGCAGTAAAAAACTCTTTGTGTCAGAACTTTTAATTTAGGTAATAAAAATCAACGGGTATGGAAACAACCTAACTTTTTGGAAAGTATTGAACAATGGATGGATTTAGCCAAAATATTCGCAGTGAGTTTTTAGTATCGATAATAGTTTCTTGCTACTGAATTCGTTTGTTTTCATGTTTTTGCTTACGAAAAATTTCAACAACAATGGTGGGAGTGTTCCCAGTATTGTTGTCTGCCTCTAAATGTATTTATTTATTTTATGACTGCGGCTGTATTTCAACTCTCCGTGCTGCAGAGGTAGAAAAATCGCATTCAAATTGATTTTTAATATTTATTTATGATTTAGGAAACAATTGAGCGTCATTTTTCAGCCAACGGATGCATGATTTCCAGCCGCTCGATTGCCGCTTTATTGCCATCGCCTGATTGATGGCCTTCAGCGGCTGAGAGCTCATAGAAATGGTCTCAGCTCCGAAATGAGCATAAACAGGCGTTTAATTTATAATTTATGTGCCGCTTTTGATTAATTGTTTTCAATTTGGCGGCTTTACGGCCATGTTGGTCACCCCTTCTGTGGCTTTGCGGCCTGACATGTGGTCCACTTCAATTTCGGCCCGGCGTCTTGAGCTTCAAATATTTGATCTGTACATATGCGTTGCGTTGCGTTGCTGGCTTGTGTACCTATGCCCAGATTTCGGCATGTATGGCATATCTCGCTATCTAAACAGGTATTCCGGAACAACCGCAAAATTTACAAGTCATCAACGGCGGCGGCGATGCGGTCGAAATTTGCATAATTTGCTTTCCATGTAGGCCTGCTTACCGGCTCATAAATGCCGGTGACTATCATCTAACTCAGTTTCCTGTTCCGCCACTAACTTGTTCGGTGTTTGCGCTGCTTAAGCGAAAACAGTGTTAAGTGCTTTCGCATACAAAATTTACATGGCCGACAATTTTTGAGAGCTGTATCGGCCATGTTGCTGCTTCAACTAGTTGATGCTGCTGCGCCTGCTGTTGCCTTTGCTGCTGCTGTTGCTGCTGCTGCTGCTGCTGCTGCTGCTGCTGTACTCAATGCAGATTGTAGGCTGCCTTTGTTATTGTTCCTCTGCGGTTGTGTCGCTCGGCTTGACTTCCGCTTGTCCCTTTGTTTGCTCACGCGGCCCGTCAATATTTACCGTTGGCTACAAGGCAGTCCCGAGCACACAGGACACGCCCCGCGCCGCCCCCCGCTGCCACGCCCTCGTGTTTGAAAACATCAGCTTGCTGCAGCATCCTGTGTGCTCCAGTTAGTGGCCAAAACGGTGAAGTCGAGGGGAGACGAGGTCAGCGATCTTGGCTAACCTGCATTTAGCTACCACCTACCTTCCAATGTCATTGATAGCCACTCTTTCTGGATATAGATACATATATTCAAAAGTTCTAACTTGGATTGAGAGGATTCCCATTGCCATCAGTACACGTGCGATTTCGTTTTCGTACATTTTATTAAATTTAATTTATTAACTTTAGCCTAGTACTCAATTAAATATTTTACATGCAGTTGCTTAGCCTTTTAATTTTATTATGTTATGCATTTCTCCTTAGACTAGAATTTTACTTTCCCAGGGATTTGTATGCTTCTTCGCAAACCTGTTCGGATTTCCTTTCTCGTAGTTTGTTACGTATAAAATGCAAACTGGATTTGCTAATTTAAGTCGTTTATGAATCCTTCATTAATCGGTTACCTTAGGATTAGTGTTTCATTAAATTCTTTATGATCTTTTTATTACAATTTGAACTATGCTAAGTTGGAGCTTAAAGCTAGATGAATTTGATTTAGATGTTGTAAATGCCTTAGTTACGCTCAAGTTACAAGCTAAATGTTAATGGGAGTTAGGTTACTCGAACTAAGGTCAACAACAATTATGAATTCGTTTACTTAGCTAAAAGTTTATGTTTCTCTTTTGGCGCTTAAAGCTGTTGTTTAAAAATATATTAACAATTCGATTTAATGTTAGTTCCAATTATAGCTATAAGTGTTAATTGTATTCCGTAATTTACACGTCTTCTTAGGCTTAATGGATTTTTGCTGAGCTTCTCGTTTGCCTCGAACAATTTACATGCACAGTTTATTGTTATCTTTTTACAGGGTTTGCCTTCCATTTGGTATCATCGTATAATGTTATTTGCTTTCTTAAAAGAGTGCTAGCTAAGGCAGCTCTCCTCTGCTTTAAAATCAACTCAATTGCGGTTTTTCTGGCTCATCACATACAACTTATAGTCAATTTGTTTACCAATTATTCCCCGATTTTTCTGTAGTTTCTCATAGTTCTCGCTTTTGATTTGCATTCCCTGTTTGGCTCTGACTTCAGATTAGTTGCTCCTCCCGACCCACAGTTTAGCGTCAGAAGCGAGTTCCCGATCCGAGATTGCGATCCTGGGCGATCAGGATGTCCTCTCCGTTCAGCTGATGGTGCACCTCCTCCGGCACGGTCTTCAGCAGCTGGGGCTTGCCCTGAAATGGTATTGGGAAGATTGGGGTCGAGATGAGACACTTTGCCGCAGAGACAAAAACCGTATTTAGCCAAGTAAATAACAGGAGACAGCTCGGGGCAAGAAGTCCTAAAGAGCGCTGCTTTAAAATTAATGAGCCGCACATTATTTGAGTACTCACAGCTATTACAAATTCAAGTTTCCCGCCACCCTGCCCAGCAGAGTGTGCCAGCAAAAACGCTGCGTATGCGTAATATTTGGTTTTGCCAAAACCAAGACAAGCGCAAAAAGACGAAACCAACAAGTCTCGCAGCCATTTTCTCTGTTTTGTCCAACTCCCCTGGGCCAACACGGCCCGAAGTGTTTTGGTTTGGGCCGCCTTTGGGAGCCCAATCCGGGAAAAACAAGGGCCACATCAGTGACAAGCGAAAGGAGCAGCTCAAGGAAAGGCAACGCAAAAAATGCCCGAGATGGCAGTGGAATAAAACATTGTGAGTTCAGTCGCTGCTGCCTTTGATGATGATGTTGTTTTGCTGCCGCTTTTTTCCACTCCCTCCATCTCCTCCTGGTGCTCTTCTTCTTATTCGGGTCATAATAATTGCAATCATTAGAGTCAAAAGTTGCCACACCGCAGTGTCCTTTTGGCATGATATTGTTGTAAAAACGCAATTCTTTTGCTGGAACGAACATCGGCAGGGACAATGCAATGGCCAAGGCCTGTTGGCCTGCTCCACTAGCAGCAAATTCGAGGAGCAGAGGGCCAGGACGAACGCACTGCTGCGCTGCTGCGCTGCTGCGTTGGGAGTATACATAATGGGGTATTTATAAAGCGGCGGACAGAGACAATGAATGGCGGACACTGGCGGCTGGAGCGGGACAGCAGGCGGCTAGATTTTTTTATTATCCTGCAGCACATTCAGGGGTCATTTACCGCCTTGAACCCATTGAAAATGACGTCAAAGTTCTAGCTCGCTCTCGCTTCAGCCGAGTTTAAAGTTGTCTGTTGGGGGACCAAAGGTTATGGATTGCCAGAAAATTGCAGTGTCACTGGAATGAGGCGATTGTGAGTCATCTGTTGATCGATGACGCACTGGGCGGGCTAATCGATTGAAGGAGCGTAATGTATGGGATATTGTGATAGGAAGCGAACCAAAAGGGGAGATCTCTTAGGACCCAAAATGAAGTTGTTCAGTCGTGTTCCACTTAGGCGTTAAATATCTGCAGGCGGAGCAGTTTCCACTCGTAATTTTCTACATTTGAATACCCTTTCGGCGGTCGCAATCACTTCAGCAGTTATCGGTCCAACCGCAAAAACCCATTTTCCGCCCCAGCGGCTGCCATTTATAAGGGAAAAACGAAAACAAAATTGGGCACAAAAGATGGCCCCGAGGTGCTGGCGGTGCTGGTGGTTCGGGGGCCAAGATAAATGTTTCCTGCTACCGTTTCCCCAGCTTTTCCAGGCCAGAAGCAGTGCCAAAAATCCTTGCCCCCAAATCCACTTTGCATATTGATGCTTTCAACGTTTTGGACATTAGGCGAGAGAGTTGCCTTGACGACCGGTTCGCTATCAAGCAGGAGCAGCTGGAACGTCCAGGAATTGGGGAAGTACATCAAACTGACACTTACCACATCGCTGCCATAAAGGCTCATGCCCATGCCGACGATGCTTCCGTTTCCGCCATTGGCCGCTGTCAGCTGCTGCTGCTGCTGCTGCTGTTGCTGATGCTGATGCTGATGCTGTTGCTGCTGCGGGGGCAGTGGAAGCGGGCCAGGAACCGATGCCCCTGCCGAAGATGTTGCCACCAGGCCCATGCACGTCACCGGCTGCAGGAGCCCATCGCCAGTGGTCACCATGCTGTGGGTGAAGATGGGCGGCGGCGGCGTCGGCGAGAAGGTGGCCAATTGTGATGGATGCGACATGGTGACTCCGGTGATGGTGCTGTTCGTGCCAAACATCGGGCTCGTTGAGTACATGGGCATGGGATGATGTGCCAGATCGATCTGTGGCGGTTGGGCAGAGGAGTGGTAATGAGGTTTTAGTCATGTGATGATTTATATGCTGCGAGTTAGTTGCGAGCCCGAAGGTTGAAACAAAGGTAATTGATCGATGGCCAGAGTAAATGACAATGTGCAGCATAGCTAAATACAGCTAATATATAAACCACGGTACTTCAGGTCCCAGGTGGGGCGCCAACTAATTAGCAGCAGCTCTTTCTTAATTTTCTAAAATATTCGAAACTTCTAGTCCTTATTTACATAGCGAAACAATACGAAAATGAATCTTTTCTGGCGCACAAATTGAACGAACTGGTTGTACAGGACTGAAACATAATATTAATTATTTTCCGCCATTTAATGACATGGTGTAGTAAATGTGAAAAGTGTGCCAGTGGCCTGTGTGCTAATATGTATATGTGGTTCACCACGCATATTGCAGGCGTCGCGGACTCTGCGGTTGCACCGCCCCCACCTACCCCTCGCCGTGCTGCTGATAGTTAACATCGCGGCAGGCGTTTATTTAGCCAACATGGTTGCCGTGGCATACAAGAGGCTGGCTATGTGGTGAGCTACTACAATAATTGGCCCATCGGTGGCCCGTGTTTCTGCGAGCTGGCTTTGTGGGCGCGAGCATGCGACGCATGTTTATATGCTTATTTCCGTAATTAACGTGTTGCCGGGCGGGGCACGCTGGCGTTGCACTCTTAATGGGCACAACGGGATTTTGGTGAATTAATTTTTGCTCCATTCAAAGTGGAGTGTGTGGGGCATAGACTTCAAAATATCCAATTAAGTGCGGTAACAAAAGATTGTGTTATATGTAATAACGCGGTTCGTTTAAGGGTTTGTGCGACAGAAAGAAATCCAACTAAAAATAGTTCGAATAAATAATAGCCAAGGTATTAGCTGCATATCAAAGGCTGCTTATTTGGACTGCATGGAAAAGCACTCGAGTGCCAAGAGCATGTCGTGTAAAACTCGTCCATAAATGACAATAAACCCAAACAATGTCATTTTGTGAAATGGATGCCAGAACTGCGCTCATGTGGTTGCATTAATCGTTGTTTTGGTTTGTATTCCCAACGAACGAGTTCTCTTACAACACAATGGCTGTTCTAGTGCATTTGCTAGCTGTCCAGCCTGCATGTGTATATAGCCACCTACACTTGGTCGTAACTCAAGTCTTTTCAATAATTGAGGGGAATGAAAGCTGGTCGGATAAACAAAGAGATCTAGTCTGGGCAGAGCAAAAGTCCCGATGGGAGTGTGCCACAAAATCGGAACACAACTTGTCTGCCATGGCCAGACAAATTCGAAAAATGTGCTCCTCTGCTGTCGTATCTGTCAAGTTTATGTATTTACCTTTCACAGGCAAGTTCTTTGCAAATCTGGGCTCGGAGTCCCAGGTACTCAATTTTCTGGTCAAATTCCATCAAATATTTTATGCGCTTTCAGTGAGGGTATTCCTTCGCCATTATTCTACGTCTGTCCGATTTTCTGTGCCTTCTAAAGCCAGGTTTCATCTGTGTGCTACGGTGCGTATGTGTAATAACCAAAATTGCTTTTCGATGGAAGATAAATATTTTGCATGCCGGACGAAACATTTTTTTGTTCAAACGTGGGACGTAGGTTTATTGATTTGGTCAGCTTTTTATCGGGCGGATGATAATTTGTTTCTGTGGCTGCCCACAAATATTGCAGTAATTAAACTAGACTGCACAAATCATACAGATGAGTGGCATAAATTAAGTTTATTTTGAACAACCAATCACTAGGTAAATAACGAAATCATAACAAACTAAACACGCGTCGCATAGCCTTGAACGTAGAGATTGGGCGCTCCACCCACATTGTCGACCACGGCTCCAGCCACATAGCTTCTGCCGGAGGCTGTGGCCGCCTGCAAGTCGGCCAGAATCTCGTCGTCCATCATCACATTTACCTGCGAGTAGATGTTGGGCTCCGCCCGCTTAAGTTCCGCCTGCCTGCCCGGCCGTCCCAAGGTCGCGCTGCAGTAGGGGGCCATCCGCTGGACGCCCACCGGGCCGCTGACCAGAGGAGCGCTTAGTTCGCTATAGCTGAGCTCAGTCTGGGGGAGAAATTTGCAGAAAACAGAGAGGTTCAATCAGCATATCTTAGTTATTAGCTTGTCTGAAATTGTATTTGATACGCCATCTTCATTGTGGTCAAAATCGAAACTGCCGTTCTAAGCAAAGCAAACCAAACCACTAAGCTGCTGGAAAATGTCAATGATTATCCCAGTGCTATTTAAAAATCTGCGGTATTGTCAAATGCTTTCCCAGAGAATACCAAGCAGCACATGCCAAGTGACATGCCATTAATAACCTGGGGCAGGTTAAAGCTAATACACATCAGCCAGAACTCACGGCTCGCTTCTGACTGCTTTATGTCTGCTGCTGGCCGTCTGTTTGTTTAGGCCAGACACCGCCCACATCCGGCGCCTGTTTGTAATGTGTCTGCCGGCTGCTGGCCCTGCCCCTAGCAGTCATTTTCCAGCCAGAAGCAGCGGCGAGGCAGTGCACACACTTGGCCGTTTATTGCATTTCGAGGTTGCCGGCGAAGGGGCGGCGGGGCTGGAAACAGGATGCGCACATCCTTTGGCTCCTTAGCGGTGGCTGCTCCGCAGTCTCGAATGGCGCTGGGTACGCCTGCAACTTATTTTTATTAAATTCGCAAATGGAAAATTTATATTGCTGCAGCTGCTGCTGCTGCGGCTGCGGCTGCCTTCGGAGCTTCAGCTATCGCTTACTGCCTCTTGCTCCTGCGAATAGGGGCGTGGCTGGCACAGAGAAATTTCTACTTAAATGATTTTCAAATTATGTTGGTTTCCTCGCTTCTCGTACAACTGCAGATGATGCTGTTCTATTCCCATCAGAGCCATTGTTGTTTCGCTTCTTTTTCCACTGGCGACCTTCAGGAGTTTTTCACAAGAAACTTTTCCTTTTTTGTCAGTTGCAATATTTTGTAGCTCTCCAATGACAGAGTGCGGTAGTTTCAAATAGTTTTCTTTTCAGCCCCATTAGCTTTTTGTACAACTTATTTGTATCTTAATGTTTAATTTTTATCTAATTCTAATACGACCGAAGATTAGTTAGATGCTGCTAAACAGAATCCCTGTAACTTTCAAGTGGGAGCTTCCTTTAAGAGACTGCGCTGCGATTATCATGAACTATTTCATCGTTACCCCAAGAGACAAAGGAACAAGCTGCTGGCTATAAAAACCACCTAACCAGAAATATGTGGGTGGTGGCTGTTACCAAGTGAAACAATAAGGGGTGACCACCACCTGGCCTGCCGTCCATGGGTCATAAATTAAAGCTGCGATGGAGGCGAGGTATCTCCGGTGCCCGCCAGAGGAAGTGGATTAGGGTGTCGGGGTCCATGTCCCTAACTAACCTTCTGTTGCGGCTGCTGCTGCAGCTGCTGCTGTTGATTGGCATAAGCACCCATTTTGCTAACGGGAATGAGTGTATTATACTGGATGTACTGGCCATGGCCGGGAGGCGGCGCTGTCTTCTTGTCGACCACCGCGTACGTGGGCATCAGGTGATCATAGGTGCCGGAGGTTATCACGGCATTCTGCTCGGCCAACGCCGCCGTGGCGTAAGTGCGACCATGACCCTTTGTCGTCCACTCATCGTCCAGGTCGTGTCCGTCTGCAAGAAAAAAAAATAAGAAAGGGATAATGGGATTCAGCCCCGTGGGCATTAGGGATTAGCTCGGCGACCGTTATAATCGAAGCCACCTGTGGAAACTCACCCAACCCACCTTGCGGTATGATGTCCGGATTCTTGTCGATGCTGTCCAGACTGCTCGTCACATGGCACGTCTCCCGGCCGATGCGATGCATATCCTGCACTGATTGCCCGCCATTGTGGCCCAGCGTGCCGATGACGAGGCTGCCATTGTTGTTGCTCGCCAGCAGGCCCAGACTGCCGTTCCCGTTGGCCGTGGTGCCGCCCACTCCGCCGACGCCGCCACCGCCGCCCAGCCCACCGCCGTTGCCGGTGGTGCCGCCCACGCCGCCCACGCCGCCGACGCCGCTTCCCGGATGCGAGTAATTATTGCGATCGCGCCCCGAAGAGCCGCGCACACGCACCACAATCACAATGATGAGGGCCACCAGGAAAATGCTGCCCACGATGCCGGCCAGAATGCCGAGGAACGGCCGGATGTCCTCGATGACGGGGGCATAGGCCAACGAGAGGTCTGCGAGAGAGTGAGGGAAAGTAAAAAAGGGGAAACCGGAAAGAGACCAGAGATTGGAGGATAAGCAAGTGCTCCTCCATTTACATACTGCCCTAAGTGCACAGATAAAAACCGGAGAGCAGGCACAGCTCCTTTGAAACGAGTTGTACTTCATGTGACTTAGTGATTTAATCGAGTCGCGAGTGAAAGAGCCTAAGTATGCTGCAGTGCAGCGAATCTTCTGTGCCGCCTACTTTTTGGCACCTTTCAAAGTGGTTCTTGTGACAGCTATGGATTTTTCTCTGTGCACCGCCATTCTCCTTCGTCCTTCCAGCGACACTGCATTGTTTTATGAGCTGCTAACTACGTTCCGTTCTTGGTCCAGTCTTCGTCCTGTGGCTGTTGTTGCTGTTGTTGCTGTTGTCGGTGGCAGTTTCTGTGGCACGTGCCTTGAATTTAGTGCCGCCTTAATGAGCTGCATGTGTGTGGGTGCATGTGTGCGTGTATTTGTGTATTTGTGCATATCTGCGAGTTGTAATCCAACCCGCTTTCCACCGCCAACCCCTGGTTGCTAATTTCGGTCTCAGTCCGTGTCGGCATGTCGAGAATTTTTAGTGACCCAACATAAAAAGGGAACAGGAAAATAAAACCATTTGGCATACGGATTTATTTGTGCAGCTTTTTTGGTGGGGTGAAGTTGTTAAAGTGAATTAATGGTGCTATAAACCGAAAAATTTGTAAGTGGCAATTAATTACAGCAAATATAAAACTAACATATTATTTCAGACGGCTAAGGGAAACAAACACAAATAAATATTTAATAACTAAAACTACGTATAACAACAAATCATAACTCAAATGAAAATTCTTATTTAAATAATAACATTGAACTAATATTAAATCAAACAGTAATAAGCAAACAAGGCAGTAGTACAAATTAAAGTGTAAATAGTTAATAGAAAATTATAGAAAAGGAGAGTCCACCGCTACCTTCTTGCTGGTCAGCGTCCGTGCCCTCGTCGTGGCTAATTCCCTTGCCCAGATCTAGGAACTCATCCTCATCGCAAACGCAGTCGCTGGTCGTGGTCGCTGTCGCTTTTGATTTTGATTTGGGATAGGCAGGCCTAAGTCCTTGGAAGGACTTAGTGAATGTTATTTTAACTAAAATAGAGCGTGCAGTTTGAAATAAGGCATAAGGGTAAGAAATGTTAGCAAAACTTGAGCCGGAACTAGGAGACAAATGAAGCAGCTGTAAGTGCAGGCCCTTGCCAATTAATTTATAGGCAGTGAGCAAGGACTCGGACCAGGACATGCATGAAATTGCAAACGCACAGAGAGAGAGGAGAATGGCAGGACAGCCCGCATCACTGGGGCCACATGTAGGTGGGATTTGCTTCTCGAAACTGGGAGACTCGCTGGGTGAGTCCCGTGTGATTAAACTCACCCGTCTGCTTCTCCGGATCCTTCAGCGTGTAGACCTGCAAAATAGTGGCGTTGCTACGGCCCTTGCTGTTGTTGGCGATGAGGAAGACATTGTAGCCCATGCCGGGCACCAGTCCGCTTACCTCAAAGTACGGTCGCCTGCAACGAAGTTGAATCGATATTTGAATGTCCAAATCAAGAACGAGGAAACCGCAAAAAAGGCCAGAGCCGGAGCCGGAGCCAGAGCAAAGAGCAGGACAAATGGGTTTCGGCGAAGGAGCAGCAGCTGCAGGATGTTCACATCGCCATGGATCCCTGGATCCAAACGTAACCATGGCCATGCGTTCTGTTCGATGCCACGGCTCGTTGGGCTTGTTGTAATGCAGAAGTCACACGGCGTGTGATTCTGATTGCTCCGTGTCCATTCCGCCTCTTTTTCCTGGTTTTTGCCCCCTTTTTTCTTTTGCACAGTGCCGGCATTCGAGGCGTACTCACTTTGATTTTGAAATTTTGGGATGTCGTGTCGTTCCGTTCATGTAAACCTCCATTATAAAGTCCTGCTGCAGGCCGCCATTGAAGCCCTCAATGCATTCGATTTGGAAGCCCGTGGATGTCTGGTTGAGCACCGTGCAGTTTAGCAACGGATCCGGCTCGCCTGCAAGCGAGGAGACGGAGAAGCAGAAGGCGGTATTTATTATTCCGACTTAGTGGCAGATCAAGCAACAAATTGTCGGCACCCCCAGCATTTGTCTACGGCTTTTGCATGCGCACACTCTTCAAAATCAATAAGCTAACTCGCAGCGCAAGTTTGCCTAATCCAGCCGGAAAAAGCGGAGCGCCAAAGTGCCAAAGTCATCGACAAATCAGCACAGCGGGACTTGCCAAGGCCCAAAACAAAACATAAACAAAAACAGAAACCGCTGAAAGCAAAGCTCTAGCCCACGGCTGGAAGTTTTGCTGATGGACCTGCAGATACCCTGTGGCTGAACATTATGTACTTCGATATTCAATATGAATAAAATGACGGATTTTGGCAAACGTTTGATAATAAATTCAATTTAAATAATTGGGAACATTACATAATAAACCTCCCTGAGTGTCGAATAAGCCTTTTAAGCCCTGGCTGACCCAAAAGCTGTCGGCACCAAGGCACGTAACCCAGCATACAGGTGAATCACCCATCCCCGATTGCTACTCACCTGCTGGGAATATTGTGTATACGCAGGGTTCACTTTGATCGCCAATTTCGTTGGTGGCCCAGCAGAGCAGCGTTCCGTAGTCCTGGCAATGCAAAGAAGAAATCGCAAACACGGCATCAGTACGAGTGTGGGTGGTGAAAGGATGCGGCGGCATGGGGGTCCAGTTGGGGCAGGTGGGGCAGGGATAAGGGGCTGGGTTGAGTGACAATGCATTTCGTTGGCTTAATTTATGCATGCACTGCGGCGATGGCAACGCCGTTGGCAACACACCTTTTCAACCTTAATTGAAAATTCAAAACCGCAACTCGTTTGGAAAATTATGTGCTGGCCCTCAAGGGCGTGCCACGGACTGATTTATATGGCCTCCAGGAGTGCACCAGGATACGGATTCGGAATGGGTATGGGTATGGGAATGGGAATGGGAATGGGCATGGACATGGGTCTGATGTGGTGGACTTACATTCTCCGTCATGGGCGTGTAATGGGCAATACTCCGGCCCCGATCCACGGCCACTTGCGAAGCCGGTATGTCAACTGTTTCGCCCTGAGTTGCATTGAATTTCCAAACGTAGGTGGCCTCCGCGGGGTTGGCATCAATTTCACAGGCCACCTTGACGGTTTCATGTCGGCCCGAGCTGTAGGAGATTCGCTGGCGAGGTCGGCAAACAGGAGCAACTGCAAGGAGACAAAGCGCAGGACATCGTTTTCAATTGCATGGCTATCTGCATAATTAAAGAAAAACATTCGCCCAACTTGAGCTTGATGTTCGCTCGATGGGAGCAGGAGCATTTCAATCGACGAAAACGACGAGCACTCCTGGATTTTGCACAATTAAATATTTAAAGCAAATGCCAGCATTGTCGCCTCGTTTGTGGCTGCATTGTTGCTGCTTAATTGATTTATTTGTCTGATTTACGGGAAAAATTCAATTTGTCTCTGGCAGGATAAGTCGCAAACGGACACTGACGGACAGACGGATACTTGTCCGTCCTGCTGTAATTGCATTGTGTAACGTGTTAGTTACAAATTGCAATCAAAAGATCCACTTCGTTTTAATTAAGCTGTTATGTAAATTAACACACTGCAGCTAAGGCCAAGGACGAAGGACGAAGGACGAAGGACATTCTACTCACAGCGTATGTCCAGCTGGACGGGATTGCTCTCGCCGTCGCCCTCCCGATTGCTGCCCACACAGGTGTAGATGCCACTTCTCGCCCGGCTGGCGTTTTGGAGCACCAGACTCTGGTTGGAGACGGCGATGCCTTCGGCTGGGTTGTTGGTTAGGATCTTGCCCTGAAATGGAAAGCCAAAAGTGAAAAGTGAAAGGTAAATTGAAAATGGAAAATATCGAATACCGAATTGCACGCCCCTTCGTGTGTGGCGCAATAATTTATTGCATTGCATTCAATTTACCGATAACTGCTAAATTGAAATAAATTTCATTTCCCAAAGCTAATAACACTTTTATGTGGCGTTACATTGCGCATACGCCCCGCCGGCCGGAGGGCGGGACTGCTGATTGAAGACCCGCTGGCTGCTGCATAAATTAGGCCCGGTCTGCATAAATTGTTAAGTGCGCTCACAGCCCAGTAATTCAATAATAAATTGTGTGCTCGTTTCTATGTGTGGGCGTAGAGTAGACTCCCGTTTTTTGGCCCTTGGCAGCCCTAAAATATGCAACAATTATGCGTTCCATTGCGGCCGGAGTTCTGGGCTTTCGATCAGCCAGCCGCCAAAGGCTAATGTATGTATGGCATATAATGAAAATGATAATAATAATACCGCTGCTGCTGTTAAGAGGCTTGCTTGCCTGGGCCCGAAAGTGCCCCAAGTCGTATTAAATTAGCCGCGAGTTGGCAAAAGCAGTGGGGTGTTCAATTTACTTTCGAAAGTTGCGGGATGGAAGGTGAATCGCGTGTAGTATGGCATCTGTCTGTCACTTACATTGTGCCGCCAGCTAACTTCGTATATCCAAGGATTCGATTTGATGTTGCACTCGAAGAAGACATCGATTCCCTCGCGCAGAGTGGAGTTCAGCGAATTGGTTCCCAGTTCCAGACTCACCACCGGTATGTCTGCGAATGAAAATAGCGTGAAAATTGGATAGAAGTCATTGTGTCTTGCTGCCAACGAAAGGAGACTTTGCTGCCATGACATCGGGGTGGCTAATTACTTTAAATCGCCTGGCCAGATGAGTAATAAACCTGGCAGGCAAATAAAATTCCGCAAGCGCCGGGCCAAAGATGTAATTACTGTGTAAGCCGCACAAATTAGCCAATTTAAGTTGCTCAAATGTTCAGCACTCCCCACTTTCGCTCAACTCGCTCTTCTATTTTTTCCGTGCCAGCTTGTTTGTTTATGATTATACTTTTTCCGTTGGCCAACTCGGCAATTAGGCCTTCAAATTGGCGTTCGGCGGTGGCGCGTGGGTGGGTTTGCCTTGCCACATTTTAACTTGATTAATTCGAAATTGGCTCGCGAATGCGAATCAATTAAGCTTATTAAGCAATCTATCAAATTGAGCAAACAGTGCACCCCTCGCTCCGAAGAACTCGTTTCGCGGAGTATGAACCAGATATTTCAATCGAATCGAGTTCGGGCGGCGGCTGTGCAGCAAAAAGTGGCAAAGTTAAAAGGTAAGCAACAAAACCGCACTCCCAAGGCAAACAGGAAGCGGAACTCGTCCTTCTTCATTGGAGTGACGAAGGGAGCGGCGGTGGCTTTGCCATTTAAATTTTGTGCAAACAGGTCGAAAACTGTAAAAGCGTAAAGATGACTTTGCAGGCGGCGTTGCGGTGCTTGTGGCGGGTTAAAAAGTTTCGCAAGTTTTTGTGGAAAAGTTTCACCGGCGGCCGCTGGAAATTAATTTGCCAAAACTTGCGCAGCTGAGGAGAATCGAAGAAAAATATGGACCACTACATACATATATATATATATGTATATTTATAATGCAGAGGTTTGGAGGAGGTGGCGTACAGCGATTTTAAAGCTGCTCGCCGGCTTTATGCTTTCGGTTTCATTAAAAACTTTGGCCCTTCGAATTAAATATTAATATTAAGCAAAACTCACGATAAATGTCCAATTTCCAGCCATCCTCCATGCCGGACTCGGGTATCATGCTCTGCTCCGCGCGGCACGAGAGGAACTTGCCGCGGTCCTCGATGGTGGGCGTGAATGTCAGCACCGAGGTGGTAAGATTTCCGTCCGGTGTAGCCTAAATAAGAGGAGGAGTTGGGCGAGAGATCGGGGCAATCAGTTAGCGGCTGAGCAGTTGGCCAAGACAAAGGACTCGCAAAGGGTTGGCACGTCCTGCCATATGGATAGGGGGTGACTTTTAATTGAGGTCCTTGCTACGTGACTGCCGTTCGAGCAACTTCAATTACCACAAAGCATGTGTACGGCGCTGTCTCGGTGGGGAATGGAAAGTGTACTCTGGGGCAGCCATTAACAGGGCTGACAGGCATTTCAAATTTGCATGTTTATAAACATTTTGCCCAGGGTAGCGGACGGATGAGCCTGACTAGCTTGAAACAATCTTCGTCACACCGCTCCTCTTTGGCAATTTGAATATTTTATATAAACTTTAATTTAAATTTTTACTTTCAGAAAATTCTTTAAACAACTTATCAGTTTAGTTCAGCTTCTACACATACAAAGAAATTCAATCAGTCGCGCTCGACAACTGTCACAGATATTTGAGCCAAGTGGCTTCCAAGAAAACATTACAGGACCTCATGCAAGTCGAACTTGGTCGGCTGCCCTGCGCTTCCACTTACAATCTCATGAGTATTCTTCATGGGGGTGCTGCCCTTCCACCAGGTAATCGTCGGCGCTGGACGTGCTCCGATGACAACGCAGCTGAGCTGATAAGAATTGCCCGCCGACAGAGCTCGATTCTCCCCCTGCAGCTTCACAATCAAGGGACGCACTGTTGAAGGCGATAGAATTTAATTAGTTAGGCCCGGACTGAAATCGAACTGGACGGGGGAACTGGGCTGGGGAGGATTGGGGTGTTCAAGGACTCCCGGGGCCAGGGCGTACTCACGGTTCATGTCCAGGACGACGCTGCTGATAATTGGCGTTGTCAAATTATTGTTCTCCGCCCGGCACGTTAGCTGCATGTGAAGATTCCGGCGCTCCAGCCGCGGCAGGGACAGGGTATTGCCCACCCGCCGCTCGGACAGGGGTTGGCCCACACTGGCGTTCTTGTAGACGGTGTTGCCGTGCAGCCAGGTGACCCTCGGCTGCGGCCGACCTGTGGAAGGCGGAGGAGCATTGGGGAGTTTTTACAAGACGCCCGGACAAGGAAAGAATTATCGGGCTTGTGGGAAACGTGTCCTTCTGCGTGTGCGTGTGCGTGTGGCTGTGACTGTGCCTGTGTGTGCAACTGATATGTTTGCCATACGGCTTAGACTTGGAGTTGTCTCTGCGTTTAGCTGCTAGCATTTTAGCCGGTCCTCTGTTTGTTTATGTGCTCACAAGTGCAAGGAGTGGATGAGTGTCTTTCACTGGGCATACTTGTATGTGCTGTGCGGTCTATATGAATCGGTGTTTGTGGGCTGTGGGCTGCGTGTGTGGGTGTGTGGGTGTGTATTCAAGTGCCTTTCGCTGTTTCATTTGTTGTCTTGTTTGGCTTTTAGCAATTCTCAAGTGCTCTCAATGCAATTTGTGTGGGCATTGTGTGAGCTCCCGAGCTACCGATTGTCTGCACTTTGCTTTTCCAGCTCCAGCCCTTGTTTGAGTACGCGTTCGTGTCCGTGCAGCCGACAGGCGGGTGGAAATTAAATAAAATGTGAAAATCTTTCGCCTGCATTTTCACGCTCATCACTTTTAATTGTCAGACACAAGCGTTGCAGCGTCAACACTTTTCCACACACACACGCACACACATCTTACCTATATGTAGGGTATAAAAACCAGCAAGGACTTACCGCCGATGGCCACGCACGTGATGTTTATCCCAGAGCCCTCGTTGTAAGGACCCAGCGTGTGATCCTCGATGGTCACACCCTTGCTGTCCAATATAATCACCGACTCGGGCGGAACTGAAATGAGGAAAGTATAAAGACTCTTAAGTATTGCGGCTGCACCTTGCACCCCACAAAGTCGCCGCCGAGCGACATGCGATATGCGATATCGACTCTGAAAGCCTCCTTGGGCTGTCAACTCATCGTGAAGGCTTGGCTGTCACTGCTTTAAAGTACTACTTATGCTGTTGCCACTTTGCAAAGTGAAAAATAAAAGGAACGAACTTCGGGCAGGTGCAGTCGAAGTTAAGCGAGGAATTTCAACTTTTTTCCCTGCGGAGCTTTAATTTTTGTTTCCCATTTTCTTGGGACTTACCCATGCTGGCGTTTTCATTGTTTTGACTGCTCTGCAGTGCTCTTGCCTTATTATTTTTGGCTATGTGGGTGAGCCAACTTGGCCAACTATTTTGAGCCGGGCAGCAACCCCATTATCATCGCTTTGCTGGCAAATTTGCTTGGCCCGATCAGGTCCTGGGAATTTCCTACCCCTTCCGAGCTTTACAAGCAGCGGCAAGTTGTCCCAACTGTCCACCCCGGACTGGGGCAACTTTTAATCTAATATCTTCTTTAAAGTTTTATCCTCGGCTCCTTTTTCCCTTTTTGCAATTTCCCAACCAACGTACAAAGTTCTAAATCCTGCCATGGTTTTACGCTTCACATGTCACAGACAAACACACGCACACACACTAACAGACTGAGCATGTTCAACATGCTCAAGAAGTTTGTAAAACACGGCCACGCCCCTGCCGCCCCTACCGCCCCCAGCCCTTTGCGCTTCATCTAGCAGCAGCGACGTCGGCAGCAACTATTTACCAACAATATTCGGCCAGGCCAACTCCGCCGGCCATATATTTCAGCTAAACGCCTTTGGAAACGCATATAAATTTTAATGGTAAATTGCAGTTGCGCCCGCCTCAATGCACAGGTATCCCTACTTCCCTACATCCCATTGCCCTCGGAGTTGCGCAAAAAACAAGCTCCAAATTGAAACTTCTGGCTCGGGTTAAAGCTGCCCCTTAGATTATTGCATTCGAAATATGGCAGCAAATGGAAATGTACTTTTGTTCGGCTGGAAGTTTGTATCTAAATATTTACCTACTATTTTTACGAGGTACTGCTGGTCGGTCAAAATGCCCACATTGCCAGCGCATACCCTGCATACCCAATTCCCAGCCGAAATCCATTTAAAAGGCAAGGAATTCAATTCTGAACTTGCACCCTGCACTCGCTGGCCTGCCATTTCGCCTCCTTGAGCGGCTTTAACCAGCCACGTTTAAGCTTCTCGCCAAGTTGGCACTTTAAAATCTGTTTGCCAAGTGCAGAGTGCAGAGTGCCACAAGGGGAGGCAGTAGCTAAAAAGAAGCGAAAACTTGGCAGCCCGAACATATAGTTGGCGTCTTATTCTGTAACTAATGTGTTTGTCCAAGAGCTGAGTGCCGTGGTTGGCCGGGCCAGAACCAAGCAGCACTGAGGACTGGAGAACCCGGACCCGGACCCGAACCCGGACCAAGGATATGTCGTTGCACAAATTAGCTGCTCAATTATGCTACCCCGCACAGTGTGGGCAAACAGACAGGACAGGGAAAGGAGAAAGGAGAAAGGAGAGAGGAGCGAGTGGCTCAATACTTACTTATGACAGTTAAATTCACTTTGGAGTTGCGAGTCGGACTCTTCTGGAAGTCGACGCGGCAGCGATACTCGCCCGTGTCGTCCTCCGTGGTGGACTTGATGGTCAGCGTGCCAGCACGTCCTTCCACGTGGAAGGAGAGCCGCTCCCGGTAGGTCTCATCCGACCAGTGCGTTCCCTGGGCGAAGTTCGAGTCGCGTGTGTCCACACTGAAATGGGAAAACAGACGAAAATCAAGGCGTACACTACGAGAAGTGCATCTAAAATCGAAAATAAATGAAACTGCAGGATATCAATAGTATCCTGTGCTATCCTAGCTTACTTAAGAACCCCCTTAAGTTGCGTTGGCCTCAGGTTTTCTCTCAGTGTGTGAGTGGGAAATTAAAAGAATTCCTGTGTATCAGCTCGAGCCAATGGAAAACAAAAGTCGCCCACACGCCCCACGATGAAAGTTGTTTTTTGTATCGCCAACAGCGTAATTGGGTTCAGCAATGAATTAATAATACACACCCGCCCACTTCGCTGTAATTTATTGTTTTCGCTTGAAATTTCCGATTATTGATTATTTCTTTCCGCGGATACTCGGGGTAACGAGCTCATTTTGGTGGTCAATCAATGGTCTTAAAGTGTCTGCTCTGCCTCCCCAGCCGCGAGATTTCGCCCGAGTTGGGTTTAAAAGTTTCGAAAGCGGGCGGCGCCTGATTTGGGTCAACATTTAGCCAAGTGGCGAAGTTAATTGGGTTTAAAGCTTTCCTCTCGGCATTTTTAGTCCGGGAGCTGGGCACACATAGTTAATTATGCACGTTTCGGCGTAATATTCTATCTTTACGTCCCTCTAACTGAACGAAAGACGCTTTTAATTGAGATCCCAAGTAATCCTCGCCCGAGGGAGCCAAGTTTGAAGCCCGATTTGTGTGTTTTTGCCTAGTGATAGGCCACAACTTATGAATTAAACATTTAGGCTTTCGACTTGCGAACTGAGTTGGCGATTGGGTTCCAGCTCAGCCAATGGCACCTATATTAGATCTACAACCATCGCTTTTCCTTTTACGAGTACCAATGCGCCATAAATTTGTTTGCGCATGAGTCAATCTTAGCCGCAGGTCCATATGTCTTCTACTACAACTGCTAGCATTTTTTATTGCATTTAAATTTTGATTTCCTCGCCACATATGGCACACTTGAACGAACTGAAACTGGGCCGGATAATGAGGTTCTGGCGGAAAACATGACGCCGAGGCATCAGATGTCAGCTGGGCAATGAAAAACAACGAACGGATTCCGGAATTGAGCTGTCGGTGAGCTGGGGGAAAATTTAATTTTCGCACTGGGCGTGGTTTTTGCACTGGCTACTCGGTTTCTTTTTATGATTAATTTACTTGCTGAGTGGTTTTTAATTACAAACAAGAGTTGAGCTCCGCTCGTCGGAGCCCTTTCTCCTGCGGTCGTTATGCAACGCTAATTACTACTTTCGCTCGAGTCATTTGCAAGTCCTTGAAGTGCCCGAAGTTCAATTAGTTTTGGCCGCATGTCAATGGCCTGGCCAACTGGCTGCCTGGCTGCCTGGCAGCCTGGCAATCAGCTAATCACCAAGACTCTGGCGCACTGGCTGCTCACATGCGGCGAACTCGGATGAATCCAATTAAAGTTTCACTCCTTTGATGTAGTCGTGTATATCTGCGAGATACAAGATACTAGATACTAGCTACTCGAAACTAGAATGCCGAGGACCAACCACTGCGACATTATGTCAGACATGAATAATTGAAAAAGTTTTGCTGCCGAATGTAACCTTGGAGCACAGCGAGCTGGGATTGTCGAGAAAGTTTCCCTCGATTTTTGGATGCCTGGAAGCCTGGCTGAGTGGCTGCCACCCGCCCTCTGTGTATAATTCACTAGTTATGCTAATTTCAGGCCTGCAGCCTGATGGACGAACTCCCCAAAACAGACAGGACAGAAAAAAAAGAAATGTCTAATTAGCCGCCATTAAATCAGAATGAAAATTGCCCGCAAATACGGCAACTGACATGTGCAGGTCTCCGTTTTCCGCCACGCCCCCGTCCCCGCTTTTCCGATCCAATTTCCCGCCTCATCTGTCGGCGTGTTTGTTGCTGGCTCTTCTGCCGGCTGAGTGGCGAGCGGGTTGAGTGCGTCAAAAGTTGTCTGCGGTAATCAATTTTGTTTATTTATGGACCCGTGCGTGCCAACGTGTCTGTCTGAGTGTGTGTGGTTGAAATGTTTGCGGTCAGGTGGGTCTGCGGCCTGTGGTTCTGCATTTGACACGACGGCTTAAAGATTTAAGAGCGCCTCTAAAAAAAAGAACCGTGCCACTCAAACTTCTGGGCCTCCTTTGAATTCCGCCCACCATTCCCACCTACCAGCCGCATGCGGGCGCAGAATGGATTGAACAGCGCTCGGCACTCACCTGTAAATGGGAGTCTTCAGGCCAACTTTGTACCAGATGACCAGCGCCACTCGATCCTCGTAAATGGGCGGGGTGACGTTGCAGGGCAGGCGGCCGACCGTGCCCATTATGGACTCGGATAGCACGGGAGGTCCTGCAAAAAATTTGAACGATTAGGTGGTGTCACATTCGAAATGTACTGGGGAAAATCATGAGCCATTTATGGTGTATCTATCCTTATTTAAAGGTAATACATAATTTTAATTATCTTAAGAAATTACATGCGATAATACGCTACCTTTAACTAAATATGTTGTATTTCCTAATTCTAGAACCTTGTTGTAGTTTCTAGATTCTTCGTTTATTTTCAAGCAATTAAATGTGTTTATAAGAGTGAATTTTCTGATTGTTTAGACTGCGTTAACATATGACGACAGTTTTTCCTGTGTAGCAGACGGAAACGGAAAGAATCAGCCCGAGCAGCAGGGAAGTGGTGGCAGAAATGTAAAAAAACTGGCTAACAAATGATGTATAATTAGCCGAGGGCATTAGCACTTTGTTATTGGACCAGACCCCCCAAAAAGCCAAGTTGCGGGGAGCACGCTGCGATCTTTCGCTTGGCCCAACTAATAATGCTATAAATAAAAGCGAAGAGAACGGGCCAAAATGGCGGAATGAGGGGATGGAGATGAGGGGGTTTTGCGAGATAAAAGTGACGTAATGGGCGCGACGTCTTCATCGCTGTCCTGCGCCTTTTTCTTCCTTCGTCTTCTCACATTAAAGTGAAATTAGCGAGCAAATCCTTTTTTTATGCTAATTTCGCTCGGCTTTCAAGACGGGATTGTTCTTCCTCATTTTGCCGCCTTCCATTATTTTGCTGTCTTTTTGTGTGTGTGTGCGTTACTTTTGCAGCCATTTTTTGAGTTATGTCCTTTGGCTTGGCTTATTTTCCGAGTCCTTGCTCTTAACAATTTCCCTTTTGCTCGGCATTTATTTGTGTTATTTCTGGCCTGCACTTAAGATTCGTTTGCCTTTTCATTATTCTCAGTTGCTTTGTGCGCTCATATTTCGCCGCCTTTGTTTAAAGCGCGGGACGAGAAAGCGAGAGATTACTGTTTGAAGTTGACATTAATTTCGGCTCAGGCTTATTTCGGTTCCGGCCTCCGAAACAACCGGGTTCCGTTCTACCAACGTATTTTGGTCTGATTTTAATTTAAATTTTATAAGATTGGGCTAGAGCCTGTCTAATTTCACTGTTCTATGAAATTTCTAAAGCATTTTCTTTCGCAAAAGTTTGTTAGCCCTTTTTGTCTGCCCACGAGTTACGAGTTTTTCGACCAATTCCACTCGGTCCCTCGTCACGGAATTCCGCCGTTGTTTGTATCTCATTTAAATTCACTTGTTAACTCATTTGCATTTCGTAGGCTCAACAATTTCGCCTGCTCCAAACAAAGTTATAACAGTTTAAAAAAAAATGTGCCGCTCATGCACTGACCGCCAGAGATGATTTAATTGTGAACCCAAATCAAAACTCAGTCAACTGCAGGCGGCGCACATTGCTCATACGCAGCGTGGTCGCTGCGGAATTAGTTGCTAATCAGCTGGGGAAAGGCCAAGCTGAGCGAGTCATGACGGCTCGGGCAGCGATAATGCAATGCATAATTTATAATGATTATAAATGGTTTTAGCTGCCTGACTTTCGATTCAGCTGGGGCTGTGCGGTATGGGGTCGCCTCCATGCAGAGTCGTTTAAAATGTGATGCCGTCTAAGCCGGAAATCGCCGGGCTCCCCGGGCTCCCCGGTTCTTTCCGCAGGGATACGACATGGTCCGGGTCTGGCTGCCGCCATGTTTCGATTTTTCGCTCATTTCATATGCAAATATGTTCGATTTGCCATTAGGGAGGGAGCTGTGGGTGGGGTGGGGAGCAAGCCAATGCCAAAGAACGAGGGCAACCGCAATAATAACAATGCTGCCAATGATGGCAACGATGATGACGTGGCCCAAACACACAGACGCACACCCTCAACGATGCGGTGGCAGCTCTCAGAATTTGCATTGCCCCGTGCTGAGTTAAACGAAATGCGAGCATTGGCAAAACATTTAATTATAGCAATTAGCTAATTAGAGATTTTCGCTAAAACCAAACGCAGCATCCACTTGCCCCCTTTCGCAGCATCACAGCAAAAATCAATCGTGAAATTGGCCAGAATACTGTGCGTGGCAATCTGCGTCGGAATTTGCCATTTTGGCCACGTTTGTCCACTTGTTTTCGATTTGTGTGTCGGACCCCGGGCCTGAATAATGCAAAGTGTTCGAATGAATTGTAACCCAGTTGCAGGAAAGTTGCTCTACTTTGATTTCGTTTAGTATAACTTTTCTCTCGCAGCGCCCGGAACTATAAAAATGCCATCAACATTAATGGCCGCAACACGGCGACCATTAAACTGGTTTTAGCTAAACAATTTTTAGTAGCTCACCAATATTGAGCAAGGGAAAAAGTTGCCTCATTAGTTGGTTCACGTGCACACAAGCAATCGCATTAAGCGCATGTATAGTGTGGCAAATTAATTGCACATAAAATTATAACTGAACGCACTTGAAACTGACAAGCGACACGGTGACTTTTCCACCACCCGATTTTTCCGCCCATTTTCATGCTTTTCCCAGATGCCAGACGGAAAGTCGTAAAAACCCAGCGGTGACTGCCTGCGTATGTGGGTGCTCGGCGGCTTCCATTAATTAAAAGCAATGTGTTGATTTCTTATTCCTTCCCGGGTTTCCTCATCTCCGGACTGGCTGGCTTCTTGGTCTCTGGCAATTGGCATTTTGTTTTGCCTCCTAGCGCATTTATTGCCAATTATTTTTATGGCCCCAAGAGCAAACAGGCGTAAGGTGTGCAAATAAATGAACTATAACATCGGTCGATGTGAGTGTCACTTGTTTTCAATACCCCAAGTTGAATTCATCTTTTTTCTCTCATTAAAAAAATAACGAGTAGTGTTTAATTTAAACAAAGTATTAATGATTTAATTACATCGCATTTTTTCTGCAAATAATATTATTGTATTTCACTTTAAAGCAAGCATTTTGTGCACTTTCACAAACTCTCAAATTACAAACGCACGTTGAACCGAAGAAAAAGTTTGCTTTTTGCCGACAGTTGACATTTAAAACGCCAGCCGCAGATAGAATTTCACAAAAAAAGAAATTCCTTTTTGCCGCGGAATAGGCAAAAAATCCATTTAATAGGCCATAATAAATAACGCATTTTAATTAATTTTCCTATTAAATGCCATTAAATTCAATTAATTTAATAAGTAGTGGCAAAGTAGCTTGACCGCAACAGAAATAACAACATTAAAGAGACGAGGGGAAGAACTGGGAATATTCCAATGTCAAACTAGAGGAATTTCAACTTAAATATGACGGCAGCCAGCGAGAAAAGAATCTGGCAAAAATTATTATGCAAATTTGCTTTCATATTAGTGGCATTTGCTCCGCTCGGCTCCACTGACGACGGAAGAGAAGACGGCTAAAAAAAGTTGGGAAAAAATGGAATCTGCGAATCGAGCCATGGCAGGGGAAAACTCAGTTGACAACGGCAACATTTGCTGATTTGGCAAAAATATGCACAGAACGTGGCAGTTGGAGGGGCAGACGAGTGGGCTTGGAGGGGTGGGGCAGCGCTGTGACATTGCCGGAAACTCCTGCCAAGAAATTGGCAGCCAAATTTAAATAAAAAACTCTTGTCAATATTTGCAAGAGAAGGAGAAGGGAGAGGAGGACGACTGCGAGTGCGAGTGCGACTCAATATGAGTAACAAAAATGTTGTTTCAAATAAGTGCAAACATTTGCATAATTTGCTAAAATCATGGGGCTATCAAATAAAATAAGCGTGACAGCTCTAACCCCGTTTTATTGGATTAGGGGTTTGGTTTCGTGTGGATTTTACTTTAAGTTAACCAAAGGGTTTCCGTAACTCGTAAACTTAGCTAACTGCAAATCATTCTAAAGCCCATTTGTTAATTGCACCATTGGGAGCAGTACTTAAAAATGAAATAAAAATCAAATAAAAATTTCAGATGCAATTGAAGCACAACGAGTGGAATGGAGAAAAAGTGCTCAGGATGGAAGCAAATTTCAGTCACAATTAAATTAAATTCCCAACTGGCAGGAGGTCCGGCAACTATTCATGTGTAAATTTCAACAAAAGGCGCTGAGGGTGACAATTACGAGTCGGTCAAGTCTGTGTTTCTCGTCCGCTCCTTCGACTTGTTCTTCCCGTCCTTTTAACCATGTTCCCTGCTCCGTTTTATGGCCATTTGCTTTATGTAATGCCAAGTGTTTGGCCCAGAGAAAGTGGCATAAAGGCAAGAGAGCGACGGAGGAGGCGGCTCGGCGCAGTTTTAATGTGCAATAAACTGTAACGATAATGATTATGCGTTCTAGGTGGGGCAAAATCGGGGCAGAAAAGCCCATCAGGGGGGGGATAGGCCTCGGCTGTTGCAGCAGTCAATTCTCGCCATAAGTTGACTTTAATGTGCGCCAAAGTGGCAATTATTGAAAGTGGTCGGCCAGTCCGAGAAATGTAACAAGCAGTCGTTTCTGTTCTCCTTGATTTCGGCAAATGAATTTTATATTAAATTTAATTTTTATCCCATTAACACAAGTGGGAAGCCATGGCATTACGGAAAGGACTGTCGCCTCAATAGGAAAGTAAATCGGTTCAGAGATCGTTAGGTTTTTATATCCCCGATGTAGGGAATTGTTTACACAATGTAATTACATCACTCCTTTCTTCAGCTGAAAACGTTATTTATTAACTTGTTAATTCAATTCCTCCTTTAAGAATAGAACACCAATTTTGTTTAATATTTTTTTCATCGTAACAGAACTCGCATGAATCCAGATAACGAATGGCTTTCACTTTATTTCTTGGCCAAAGAACCAATTCAACTTAAAAGAGTTCTCTTCATTCTACATTCCATATATAAAGCATATTAAATGGATCTTGGCCGCACAACAGGCTCTTACATAACCCATCAATGACCAGGCCAATCTACATATGCCGGTCCCAATCCGCCCCTGGTCACATAAAAATGCAGTAAATGGCTGGGTAACAGACTGACTGACTACGGAAAACTTTC